GTGTGCGTGTGTGTCTATGTGAACCATGTTTATACATACTTGTGAGGACCAAAAATTGGAATGCTACTATACTTGTGGGGACCAACAGCCCTTTTAAGGACAAAATGCCCTTTCCCCATGAGTTTGAAGGCATTTTTCAGACTCTAAATGTGGTTTTAGTGTCAGAGTTACAGTTAGGTTATGGTTAAATTTAGGTTTAGGCTGAGGATTAGTCATTCATTTTTCATGGTTAGGGTAACCGGCTAAGGAAAGTATTATGTCAATTAGGCTACGTTCACACTGCAGGCGAAAGCGCATCAAATCCGATTTTTTTGACCCTATGCGACCCATATCCGATCATGATATGACAGTGTGAACGGCACAAATCCGATATTTTCAAATCCGATCTGGGTCACTTTCGTATGTGGTACTGATACATATCCGATGTTTTAGAAAGCGACTGCTGTTTGAATGGTGAAGTCGCATTAAATCCGTCTTTTACGTCACTGACACAAGACAGAGGCCAATTATCAGCGCCGGAGAAGACATCGCGAACGCTTCCTGGCCATCCCGTGTAGATGTCAGTGAAATTGTTGGGAAGACAACGTTGGAGAAACGTGAACATTTTATTTGTACTGTATAATCTACAGATTGTGACAGAAATCACCAACTATCCTTTGAAGCACCGCTCCTCTAACAGCAATAAGGATAATTATTAGGTTATCTACATTATTATGTAAATAACAAAATAATTTAAAGCAAAAATTGGGAAACATGAAGTCCGAAGTCTTTATTTTAAGGGCCATCAGTCAAACAATACTGTTTGCTCTGGGTCTAAACAGAGCGCGTTGTGTGTGACGTCTTCTTTTGCGCATGTGGGCCGCTTTGAGCGTTCACACTTGAGAGCGTTTGCAGTCGCATTTTATTTGTAGTGTGAACAAGCAGACAAAAAAAATCGGATTTGATCAAAAAATCGGAATTGAGCATTAAGACCTGCAGTGTGAACGTAGCCTTAGATGTCCTCACTATATAAAAACAAGTCTGTGTGTGTGTGTCTCACCGCACTAGTGAAGTTTCCCTGCACCAGCCCCTCAGCATAAAGCTCCGCCTTCAGCCCTCTGACGAAGGTCATGAGGTCGTCGACAGTTAGACCTTTTGAGACTGCGCGATACTTCTGGATGACGGACCAGCGGCAGTGCTCGAGGATCTGCAGACGAATGTCTCTGCAGAGGAAACACCACACTGATCACATCCACCTACAGCTCCGCTTTAGACGGAGTCTCTCTCCTCAGAGGAAATGCTCAGTTTGGGAGCCGATACTGATCAAACCCTCAGAAATACAGAGGAAATACACACAGTTACAGCAAGACTGCAGACACAACACCCCGAGGCTTTCATTATTATATCTGGAGACTTTAATCATGCCACACTGGATTCTA